GTTTTTGGTTCAGACCGAAAGGTGACCACCCTTCCTTTCGGGCCTTACGAATAAATGTGGCTGAGGAAATCACCGAGCTAAGCATCCATTCATTCATTTCCTTTGGGTGAACGCACAACAATTAGTGGTGACAACCGTCTTGCATTTTATCGGCCACCATTAAAATCCATAGTCAAGCAATTATAACCAACATTTCAGTCACCATAGAAACAAGATAGTGGCCACGTCAAGGTTTTTTTTTTTTCGCATTGTATGGATTGTGTAAAGTTGTTGCTTTTCAAATTCGCTCCATTTTAGACCCTAATGGACAGAAGTCCTTGGAGCTCTTGTAAATGGCCCCACCAGCACCTCCTCCTCAACCTTCAGATATTTGCATTCATCTGAATGCTCTCCAGGCTGGTTAAGATCCCATCCGAATGATTTGGCCATTTGCATTCCAGCATTGTTCCTCCGAGTAACGTCAAGGTTTGAAGTGCACGTGAGAAAAGGATCTTATGATATGCAGAGATCAGAGAGGTCAGGTTGTATGTTTGTGCAGATCTCCGCGTGGGTCGTTTCGCATCAACCGTTTGCTTTGTGCACTCTGATTCTCTTGTATTCATTTGACCAGTTTAATTTTCTGGAAACTAAAAACGGTGAACAACGTTTACGAAATGACACGGAATACTCCATTGAATTTCTTTCTTTTTGTCCCTAAAATCCCTGATGCCCAAGTTGCTTAACAAAATATCCAGATCTGTTGTGCTCTTCAAGTGCTCGCTTATCTGTCCGAGTATCTTGAGGTGATTGCGATGTCCTTTAGAAACAGGAAATGAGTTTTGTTCTCTTCACACAGATAGCGTCGAAGCCACCGAGTTACGAAAGCGGTTTGTTGTTTGCTTGGAGTGGAGTTGAATATCTTCCCAATGGCAAATGATTATTCTGCCCTCTCACTTAACGTTGAAAACAGAAAAATCTGTCTTAGCGTATGGAGCTTTACGCGTACTTTTTCTCCATTCATCTTGGATTTAGCCTCCTCGTTGTGTCCTGACTGAACATTTATCACGACTGTTTGTTTGCCATGTTTATGCTTGTGAATATCTCGAGCTCTGGAGTCTCCAGAAGTCTACAAGAACATCACCAAAAGCGAGGTTTGTTGCTTCCATATATTAATTAAAAAAAAAAATACAGTACAGTGAAATTGGAGTTTAGATTTGGAGTTTTCTATTTTACTTTCTCCCCGAGAGTTCTTTGTCCATGAAGTGAATTGACTTGGACCGATCCCTTAGTTGCTCCTCAGCATTTTCCATCGCTGGCTTGATACTCGCGCACAACTTTACATGCAGATGAATTCGCATCCTCCATACAGTGTGCGTATCGAGGACGATAGTAGTCTCATCCCTCACTCCTCTCCCAGCCTTGACCCTTTTCAACAACGCCATCGTTCTCTGAGAATCCTTCCATCCATCCCGGCATCTTCATCAATCTCTCCGTGTTTTTCCCCGGCCTGTAACGCTGAAGTGCACAGGCTTGGAGGGGCAGACGGAGAGGGAGGTGCACGGAGAGATGATCCCGTCCTTTCCAACCTCCTTTTGATTCCATCACGCTTACATCTTCGCCCCAAAACTCAACAATAACACATCCATCACGCGTACGCATACGGGCAGCATGCGCACGATATGAAGACTCATTTCCTCGCCTGACAGAAAAGGCAAACACTCTTCCCTTGCACAATGTAATAAAGAAACCGTGGGGACATTTTCTCCTTTAATGTAGATTGATCTCCATGACCAATGTCTTGTTTTAGTGACTGTATTGATCAAGTGGCGTGAGTCACTAATCTCTCACCCCCCCCAAGCTTTCTTGAGCCGAGGCACATATTTTGCACCGCGCAAGCGGGTGGCAAAAGTGGTTACACAGATTAATTTTGCACCCTGTATGGATTGTGTAAAGTTGTTGCTTTTCAAATTCGCTCCATTTTAGACCCTAATGGACAGAAGTCCTTGGAGCTCTTGTAAATGGCCCCACCAGCACCTCCTCCTCAACCTTCAGATATTTGCATTCATCTGAATGCTCTCCAGGCTGGTTAAGATCCCATCCGAATGATTTGGCCATTTGCATTCCAGCATTGTTCCTCCGAGTAACGTCAAGGTTTGAAGTGCACGTGAGAAAAGGATCTTATGATATGCAGAGATCAGAGAGGTCAGGTTGTATGTTTGTGCAGATCTCCGCGTGGGTCGTTTCGCATCAACCGTTTGCTTTGTGCACTCTGATTCTCTTTTCCTCCGAGTAACGTCAAGGTTTGAAGTGCACGTGAGAAAAGGATCTTATGATATGCAGAGATCAGAGAGGTCAGGTTGTATGTTTGTGCCGATCTCCGCGTGGGTCGTTTCGTATCAGCCGTTTGCTTTGTGCACTCTGATTCTCTCGTATTCATTTGACCAGTTTAATTTTCTGGAAACTAAAAACGGTGAACAACGTTTACGAAATGACACGGAATACTCCATTGAATTTCTTTCTTTTTGTCCCTAAAATCCCTGATGCCCAAGTTGCTTAACAAAATATCCAGATCTGTTGTGCTCTTCAAGTGCTCGCTTATCTGTCCGAGTATCTTGAGGTGATTGCGATGTCCTTTAGAAACAGGAAATGAGTTTTGTTCTCTTCACACAGATAGCGTCGAAGCCACCGAGTTACGAAAGCGGTTTGTTGTTTGCTTGGAGTGGAGTTGAATATCTTCCCAATGGCAAATGATTATTCTGCCCTCTCACTTAACGTTGAAAACAGAAAAATCTGTCTTAGCGTATGGAGCTTTGCGAGGACTGTTTCTCCATTCATCTTGGATTTAGCCTCCTCGTTGTGTCCTGACTGAACATTTATCACGACTGTTTGTTTGCCATGTTTATGCTTGTGAATATCTCGAGCTCTGGAGTCTCCAGAAGTCTCCAAGAACATCACCAAAAGCGAGGTTTGTAGCATCCATGTATTTATTTTATTTTATTTTTTTAATCCAGTACAGTGAAATTGGAGTTTAGATTTGGAGTTTTCTATTTTACTTTCTCCCCGAGAGTTCTTTGTCCATGAAGTGAATTGACTTGGACCGATCCCTTAGTTGCTCCTCAGCATTTTCCATCGCTGGCTTGATACTCGCGCACAACTTTACATGCAGATGAATTCGCATCCTCCATACAGTGTGAGTATCGAGGACGATAGTAGTCTCATCCCTCACTCCTCTCCCAGCCTTGACCCTTTTCAACAACGCCATCGTTCTCTGAGAATCCTTCCATCCATCCCGGCATCTTCATCAATCTCTCCGTGTTTTTCCCCGGCCTGTAACGCTGAAGTGCACAGGCTTGGAGGGGCAGACGGAGAGGGAGGTGCACGGAGAGATGATCCCGTCCTTTCCAACCTCCTTTTGATTCCATCACGCTTACATCTTCGCCCCAAAACTCAACAATAACACATCCATCACGCGTACGCATACGGGCAGCATGCGCACGATATGAAGACTCATTTCCTCGCCTGACAGAAAAGGCAAACACTCTTCCCTTGCACAATGTAATAAAGAAACCGTGGGGACATTTTCTCCTTTAATGTAGATTGATCTCCATGACCAATGTCTTGTTTTAGTGACTGTATTGATCAAGTGGCGTGAGTCACTAATCTCTCACCCCCCCCAAGCTTTCTTGAGCCGAGGCACATATTTTGCACCGCGCAAGCGGGTGGCAAAAGTGGTTACACAGATTAATTTTGCACCCTCTGCCATCTGGTGAAAGAGCATTTCATTGTTCTGCCTGTCACCGGACGTCATGGAGATGGATTGACTTGAACTTTTTTTTAAAAACGTCATGAACCTTTACGGTGACATCATCATTCTTCCTTGAGCCCCGCAAAGTTGTGCAGACGCATACTTTCAGACCCGTCTAATCCCCCAGATCTAGGTAAAAGTATGATACCATCGCCTTTAATATGTTAACGAAAAACATATTTTGATATTGTATCATGAGTCAGAATGTCAGAAGCTTTTAGTTATTTCTTGGCAATCAGCTCAACCAACAAACAGGTCCCTGGTAAGATTCCCCAACCCAAACAAGTAATAAAGCGACACCGGGGTTCTTTGATTTTTTTTTTTTTTTTTAGGGCAGGCAGACAAGAAGGATTTGCGAAGAACCTGAAGGCAAAATGTCATTGTGTGCCTGACATTCACCGGGTTTGAAATCCGATCCCCGTCTCCAATGTTTTGCCACCTTTTTGTTTAACATGAAAAGGGAGCCGAGGCAAGTTTTACCCATGAAAGCAAAATGGAACATTCACAGCAGGTTGCTATGGCAGCCACTGCAGACGGAAACCCAGAAGAATCTTTCAGAATAGTTGATTGAAAATATCCTAATTTTGCCCTGCGTTGTTTTCATTCTGCAACGATGATAAGATACATCCCAGGATGCACTGGGACACATCATCGGTGATGTGCCTGAGATCATCTGGGCATTCGGGTCTTCCAACATTGTACCCCCTTCCCTCAGATGAGCCGGCCAGGGTTGATCAGACCCCGGTTTGTGTCCAAGTAGCATTGGATCCCAAATCGCTCCTCTCGATCCAGAACCATCTAGAGGCTCTCTCTGCTGCCTCCATGGTATCCTTTGTTTGTGTAAAAATTCTATTATGCAGCATCGAAGTCTCCAAGAACATCACCAAAAGCGAGGTTTGTAGCATCCATGTATTTATTTTATTTTATTTTTTTAATCCGGATATTTGCTCTTCCATGGTTGTCATGTAACGTGCGTGTGTCTGTTGTTTGCCTGACTGTCACATGTTTAGGAGTGAACTTAATTCTGGTATTTGCTTATTTTGAATGAAGTGATTTATGCTTAGTTGGAGTTTAAAAAAAACAAGTATGCAACTCTATTGTTTTCCGGGGAAATTCTTCTACTCACATTATGCTTTGTTTTCAGTACCTGTCACGATTCCTCGCTTGTCGTATGAACTGTAATTTTCTCTTTCTCTTTTTTTTTTTTAAATCCCAGGTTTATTCCCGGCGGTTTTGAACTTGGCATCCATGGCAGATATTACAACCAACGCTACATGTGGTCTATCTGGTCCAGAGATGTTCTGTAAACTAGTAGAACATGTACCAGGTCAGCCTGTCACAAACGCACAATGTCGAATCTGCAATCAGAACAGTGCGAAACCATTTGGTAAGAAAGAGTCTCACTCACACACGCACTTTCAAAGTGTAAAATGTCGCTGACGATAAAATTGGTCACTAATTCATCACCGTAGATGTGACTTGAAATGGTTCAAAGGAAATTTGTGGAGGATGACTGCCATGTCTCTCTATCGACAGAGCGTCACCCCATCGAATACGCTATCGACGGGACGAACCGTTGGTGGCAAAGTCCCTCCATCAAGAATGGAATGGAATACCACTATGTGACTATCACGCTGGACTTGAAACAGGTAGCAAACGAGCACTTGTACACTTTCACGATACTGCTTTTATATATATGGGCACTGCTCAACCTCGCTTTGATACCGCAAGATTCATCCCGTTCGGGTTATCTTCAAAACAGCTGACACGGGTTCTAAAATCAGGTCACGGGGGCTCCCAGTTGGCGACCCATCCTGTGCAGTGACCCTTCGTCTCCTCCTTTGTCCCAGTCAAGCTTCCATAGAGCGCCACAGAGAACTGATTGAAAATTGATTATAACAGTTGACTGCGGGCTTGGCAGTTGACGACAATCATCATCTTGCTCCATTTGCCGTGCACACATTCTTTAAAAGCTTTTTAATGCGAGAGACATTCTTTCTTGGCGACCACCTCCTGACGGTCCAGCACTCTTATTTTTTCGAATGACATCTTTTCGAGAGTAACGAGCGATGCTTGAGACCTTGCTCCTGGAGCGTCGCTGGCAAATGTGCGCCGGATGTTGTTAATTTAGATGGCTGTGTGATACCCACATTTAATATTGTGTACAGCTTGTTTTGAACTCGGGTAGCGCTTGTAAAATGTTAATTAAAATATTGTTCGTGATAAATGCAAGCGATGTTTCTGACATCATATCTAAAGGGAAATTGACTTTTGGGGCAGTACCAATCTTGCCTCGTGAATTTTGCCTGCCAACACAGGGCATAAGTAGGAATAAGACCCTTTTTTTTGTCTCAGTTTTCAGGAAAGCGACAGAATGTTGAGCCCTAAACATTGCATCATCAAAGAGTGCAAGCCATTTATCACCACTTGAGACTGGTCATTTATTTGTAAAAATGTTGAGATTGAGCACTGTGAAAACAAATTTGACGACAACCTTACTTGTGCTTTTATAAGACTTTGCTTCAAGCGTGGTGCAGCAAGGCATGACTCTTTCTTTGACAGTGTAGCATTAGCATATGGATATATAGTATATGCGGGCCATTTCACAATTCAGGTAAATTGCCGTTATTATAGAAATTATACATGGACAGCTTGATGAATGTGGCCTAATGATACATAGGCCGCACTGATTCGGGGAGGCGGGAGCAGAAGCTTTCAGAGCGATTGGGAACCTGACAGCAGCTGTCCGTCAAAGCACTTTTAATATCGACGTTTCCTGAAGACCATAAGCACAAACCCTTGCACGCAAAATGATATCTTTGAATGTATAAAACATATTAAGTGTTGTTTTTCCTCCACAGGGACTTTGACTAAAATTGAGGGTTGCATCAAAAGCATGAAACTTTATGGGGAGCATGTTGCAGCAGCTCAGGCCAATGCAAAAAAGTGCGAGAGATTGCAGCATCTGTTGTCCTGAGCAAGACGATTTCAAAGCTTAAGGCCAAAAATATCGACCGAGCTCGCCTTTTTTTTTTTTTTCTAAATATGCCTTTAAGTGTATGCACGGCACACACAACCGCATACGTTCACGGAACATTTCCCTTTTGTAATGTTTTATCCAGAGGCATCGATCTCTCTCTGTCTTGCTCTTCTGCAGGCTCTTCATTACTAAAGCAGACGTGGAAAACACTAATAAAAACAGTTTCCGTTTCGTATTTCTTTATTTTCTTTTCATACAGAGTCCTATTTGAATATGCTTTTTCTATACACTGTTCTGCATAGTACTGCAGCATTCAAAATGCGCATAAACAGGGTAGCAACACAACTCCGCAGTGAATATCTGCTACTAAGTTTGGCGAGTACAAACATTGGATGTGTCACACGATTAAGAAGGGGGCCAAAAAACACTTGGTGAGTCCAGTGAGATGTTAACACATTTCCAGTGACAGTAAATTTTTAGGCTGCTGTCTTGTGGCATATGCACCTGTCAGCTTGTCTCTTGTTTTTAATGTTCGCATCCTACAACTCACTTCACTGATATGACTGTTGTCATTCTCCTAATTAACTCTCACGCCTTCGCTTTCGGTCTTTTGAACGGTTCATTTCCAAGTCACATTTTTCGTAGGTTTCCAGTTTTACAAGGCAGCCACTGCAGACGGAAACCCAGAAGAATCTTTCAGAATAGTTGATTGAAAATATCCTAATTTTGCCCTGCGTTGTTTTCATTCTGCAACGATGATAAGATACATCCCAGGATGCACTGGGACACATCATCGGTGATGTGCCTGAGATCATCTGGGCATTCGGGTCTTCCAACATTGTACCCCCTTCCCTCAGATGAGCCGGCCAGGGTTGATCAGACCCCGGTTTGTGTCCAAGTAGCATTGGATCCCAAATCGCTCCTCTCGATCCAGAACCATCTAGAGGCTCTCTCTGCTGCCTCCATGGTATCCTTTGTTTGTGTAAAAATTCTATTATGCAGCATCTTTGGTCATGAACTGACAAGTTAAAAAAAAAAAAAAAGATGCACTGACTAGATCAAACAGATTTTAAAGGCCGTTAAAATAATTGATGACAAAATGTCTTCGAAGCACACCGCAGCCGTCCAGATGCGATCGATTCAATTCGCTGAGAATGAAATTGAAATGGATGAATGGGAATAGTCACACGTACTCGAGTTATATTTTTAGACCCCCCGGTCATTATCGATTGTTGTTCTTTCATATTTGACATCAGCAACAGCACAACGGAGCTATATGGAGAACGATTTATGTGTGAGAATATGTACATTTAGAAGCGATCATTTGGACGTCTCGAATGTTCTTCACAGCTCAACAGTGTCGACATCTGCTGCAACAGCTGTGCGCATCTGGACACACACAGACACTCGCAGCCCTTTCCTCCACTCGCGGTTCACACGTTCCCCCGGTTTACGACTGGACTTCATTTCTGTGTCTGTCTTGATGTTTTCATATCATCGCACCTGTTTAAATATGACTTGGCCTGTTCAGACCAGACTCGGATATTTGCTCTTCCATGGTTGTCATGTAACGTGCGTGTGTCTGTTGTTTGCCTGACTGTCACATGTTTAGGAGTGAACTTAATTCTGGTATTTGCTTATTTTGAATGAAGTGATTTATGCTTAGTTGGAGTTTAAAAAAAACAAGTATGCAACTCTATTGTTTTCCGGGGAAATTCTTCTACTCACATTATGCTTTGTTTTCAGTACCTGTCACGATTCCTCGCTTGTCGTATGAACTGTAATTTTCTCTTTCTCTTTTTTTTTTTTAAATCCCAGGTTTATTCCCGGCGGTTTTGAACTTGGCATCCATGGCAGATATTACAACCAACGCTACATGTGGTCTATCTGGTCCAGAGATGTTCTGTAAACTAGTAGAACATGTACCAGGTCAGCCTGTCACAAACGCACAATGTCGAATCTGCAATCAGAACAGTGCGAAACCATTTGGTAAGAAAGAGTCTCACTCACACACGCACTTTCAAAGTGTAAAATGTCGCTGACGATAAAATTGGTCACTAATTCATCACCGTAGATGTGACTTGAAATGGTTCAAAGGAAATTTGTGGAGGATGACTGCCATGTCTCTCTATCGACAGAGCGTCACCCCATCGAATACGCTATCGACGGGACGAACCGTTGGTGGCAAAGTCCCTCCATCAAGAATGGAATGGAATACCACTATGTGACTATCACGCTGGACTTGAAACAGGTAGCAAACGAGCACTTGTACACTTTCACGATACTGCTTTTATATATATGGGCACTGCTCAACCTCGCTTTGATACCGCAAGATTCATCCCGTTCGGGTTATCTTCAAAACAGCTGACACGGGTTCTAAAATCAGGTCACGGGGGCTCCCAGTTGGCGACCCATCCTGTGCAGTGACCCTTCGTCTCCTCCTTTGTCCCAGTCAAGCTTCCATAGAGCGCCACAGAGAACTGATTGAAAATTGATTATAACAGTTGACTGCGGGCTTGGCAGTTGACGACAATCATCATCTTGCTCCATTTGCCGTGCACACATTCTTTAAAAGCTTTTTAATGCGAGAGACATTCTTTCTTGGCGACCACCTCCTGACGGTCCAGCACTCTTATTTTTTCGAATGACATCTTTTCGAGAGTAACGAGCGATGCTTGAGACCTTGCTCCTGGAGCGTCGCTGGCAAATGTGCGCCGGATGTTGTTAATTTAGATGGCTGTGTGATACCCACATTTAATATTGTGTACAGCTTGTTTTGAACTCGGGTAGCGCTTGTAAAATGTTAATTAAAATATTGTTCGTGATAAATGCAAGCGATGTTTCTGACATCATATCTAAAGGGAAATTGACTTTTGGGGCAGTACCAATCTTGCCTCGTGAATTTTGCCTGCCAACACAGGGCATAAGTAGGAATAAGACCCTTTTTTTTGTCTCAGTTTTCAGGAAAGCGACAGAATGTTGAGCCCTAAACATTGCATCATCAAAGAGTGCAAGCCATTTATCACCACTTGAGACTGGTCATTTATTTGTAAAAATGTTGAGATTGAGCACTGTGAAAACAAATTTGACGACAACCTTACTTGTGCTTTTATAAGACTTTGCTTCAAGCGTGGTGCAGCAAGGCATGACTCTTTCTTTGACAGTGTAGCATTAGCATATGGATATATAGTATATGCGGGCCATTTCACAATTCAGGTAAATTGCCGTTATTATAGAAATTATACATGGACAGCTTGATGAATGTGGCCTAATGATACATAGGCCGCACTGATTCGGGGAGGCGGGAGCAGAAGCTTTCAGAGCGATTGGGAACCTGACAGCAGCTGTCCGTCAAAGCACTTTTAATATCGACGTTTCCTGAAGACCATAAGCACAAACCCTTGCACGCAAAATGATATCTTTGAATGTATAAAACATATTAAGTGTTGTTTTTCCTCCACAGGGACTTTGACTAAAATTGAGGGTTGCATCAAAAGCATGAAACTTTATGGGGAGCATGTTGCAGCAGCTCAGGCCAATGCAAAAAAGTGCGAGAGATTGCAGCATCTGTTGTCCTGAGCAAGACGATTTCAAAGCTTAAGGCCAAAAATATCGACCGAGCTCGCCTTTTTTTTTTTTTTCTAAATATGCCTTTAAGTGTATGCACGGCACACACAACCGCATACGTTCACGGAACATTTCCCTTTTGTAATGTTTTATCCAGAGGCATCGATCTCTCTCTGTCTTGCTCTTCTGCAGGCTCTTCATTACTAAAGCAGACGTGGAAAACACTAATAAAAACAGTTTCCGTTTCGTATTTCTTTATTTTCTTTTCATACAGAGTCCTATTTGAATATGCTTTTTCTATACACTGTTCTGCATAGCACTGCAGCATTCAAAATGCGCATAAACAGGGTAGCAACACAACTCCGCAGTGAATATCTGCTACTAAGTTTGGCGAGTACAAACATTGGATGTGTCACACGATTAAGAAGGGGGCCAAAAAACACTTGGTGAGTCCAGTGAGATGTTAACACATTTCCAGTGACAGTAAATTTTTAGGCTGCTGTCTTGTGGCATATGCACCTGTCAGCTTGTCTCTTGTTTTTAATGTTCGCATCCTACAACTCACTTCACTGATATGACTGTTGTCATTCTCCTAATTAACTCTCACGCCTTCGCTTTCGGTCTTTTGAACGGTTCATTTCCAAGTCACATTTTTCGTAGGTTTCCAGTTTTACAAGCCAACAAACATTGTAGCACCACCAGCTGTTCCTCCCCAATTGTTTGTCCAAAAGATCCTGGAGACAACATGAATTCCAGTCCCGTTTTATGGCAGGCGACCCAAATCCACTGGACGCAGGCCTCAAACGGTCAGCTGGAGAAGCAAAACAAACCTTTCAAAGTCTTCATTTGGATCTGATGCGCCATTTTTGCTTGTATAAAGAGTCCATCGTCCTTGATGAGTACTTATTTGTGCTTTAACCAGAAGACTTTTGCTGTCTATGTGTAGCAAATGTCATACAAATATCCACCCATTATGTCTTTTCAAGCCGCCTGTATGTAAGTGTAATGAAAATTGTTGAAAAACGTGGTCTTTCTTTGCGGTTCTCTGTACTCTGGGAAAACATTGTACAAGATAGAGTATCAATGCCTTTTTTTTTCCCTATTCATCCAAGAGAACATTTTTTTAGGTCCCCGGTCACTGATGTTAGCGCAGAGGGCCTGGCTATCAGACAATGTTCTGTTCTCGTTGGCTCTAAACATGTTTGTCCTGATGGAGGGTCAGGCCTCAAATTCTTGCACAGGAAACTCATCCCAGTTATGACTTACCATAATGCCTTGATTATTTGATTAAAGTGTGACTCCTTTCCCCCCCGAATCTTGTCTGACCCAAGCGCGGCATATGCTTTGCTACACACTCGATTGTTCTATTTGATGTGAATACACGTGAAAGTCATTCTTTTGTCGTGGCTACGGGTAACTGCGATCGGCTTACTCTGCAACGTTCTCTTCTCGCTTACACACAGACAAAGGCAGTGGCTGCTTGGATCACTGCAATGGGGTGACACGGCTGCCCACATCAAAAGATGAGACTCGCATTGACTTGAGTTTGGATTCTTGTCTATTACCCTACTTGATGGTGTTTACAAAATCGAATGAGCAGTTTTAGAGATGCCGTTCTAGAAGTCCTTTTTGGTCCTTTAACATACCAAAGTTTTCATTGAAATGATCAGTGTGAACTTCTTTATTTTGCACAATGATACTTTAATAGGATTAGGGGGATCCAAACTGGAACCTTCCGGTCTCGAAAGCAACGTCCAACTTTCTCATCCAAGAAAGCCCCTCCAACACCAGTGGTCCTTAAAAAAATGATTATCCTCTTAACTGAAAGAGTTTTTGTAGCATCGAAATGCCATGGATTGGTGGTCTGGCTTCTCGACACTTTCTGAAGTGAGATAAACCTGTAGTCATCATCATCTGGATGTAAACAAAACGTGGTGTTCAAACCAGTTTCACTCATTCTTCTTCTTTATGTTGTCAGATTTTCCAGATAGCCTACGTGATCATTAAAGCTGCCAACTCGCCTCGCCCGGGTAAGCGTTTTCACTACATCATTAGTATTGAAGCAGCCCGCCACATTACTTTGATTTTTGGCACGCAATCTGGAGCACATACAGTATCCAAGAAGCTCCATAAGAAGCACAGGAAAACATTTCAGAAAAATGAACAATGCATTTTTGGTCTTTTTCCACGAATAATTAAGTCAGATTATGGAGAATGATGGGATTGAGGTCCACCCCCCCCCCCCAAAAAAACGCTTCAGGCTGCAGTCTGTAAAGAAAATGATTGCTGTTCAGACACAAATTAGTTCAGCATGGACCTTAATTGCCTTGGGAATACAATGAAATATCATATCATAGAAGGTGATGACAATGTAGGTCATACTTTGGTCAACATGCATTTCCGGATGCGTTCCCTCCGCTTAAATATCTCTCTCTTCTCTGCAGGAAACTGGATTTTGGAGCGTTCAATAGATGGCGAGACCTATGAGCCGTGGCAGTTCTTCGCCCTCACAGATACGGAGTGCCTGACCAGATTCAACATAAATCCAAGGACAGGACCTCCGTCATACACCAAAGACGATGAAGTTATCTGCACATCTTTCTATTCGAAGATCCATCCTTTGGAGAATGGAGAGGTAACATTACTTTTTTTTTTAAGTAAAAAAGAGTGAGCAGTGAGTGTCTCGATTGTCAAACATTGCACTTTTCACACAGCGCCTCTGTTCGGTACCAACCAAGTGCAATTGCGTGGAAGTGGTTGATAGAAAAACACTTCAGCTGTGTTTCATTTCGGGGAGTTGACCGTTTTAAACCATATTATGGCGAGCTGAATTGAACTGCATCTCTTGGTGTAAACATGAATTAACACAATATGGTTACTGACAGATACGTTCATTGATGTCCGTAGATGCTTTGTATTGACTTTGTCTTGCCCTCAAAGCTTCAAAAAAGACTGGACAGGTAATTTTTCCGATCAATTTTTTTTTTTTTAATCTTGTGCTACAAGTTATTATGTTGCGCACATTGCCCAATATAGTAATCACCTTAAGGGAATGAAGTTTTGTTAACCAAGGTTATTGATGAAAGATTTGTGGAAGCAAATGGGCATCGAACCACATTCTTTGTGTGACGAGGCCACAATACTGCTTCAAAACACATTTGATGAGCCCTACTCATTAAGTCCATTGTGGTTCTGTTTTGTTTAACTGTATTGCCTGCGTTATTGATGTGTAGTTTAGTTTTGTTTTTTTTTTGCTAAAGATTTGTGTCTCCGTGTTCAGTGCGCAGACTCACAAATAGATTATGTTTAATGAAAAGTAATTGGTGTGTTGTTTCTGTTTTTTTTCTCTGATAGCAGAGGACATTCAAAACATGATTTTTGTTTTTTCTTAAGTGATCATTAAAACCATAATCATTTCAGGCAACAATAGATTTTTACTTTAGTGAAGTCATTATGGGCGGCTTCATTCCGGCTCCGGCTTTCCTGTGCGGAGTTTGCATGTTCTCCCCGTGCCTGCGTGGCTTTTGTCCGGGTGTTGCGGTTTCCTCCCACGTTCCAAAAACATGCATGCATTGTCTTGCTACAATTATGTGTGGATGCTAAAAGTGGCGTAGCGGTCTTAAGTGACATTAATGAACCGAAGGCATCAGGACACACAATGGGCTACATTTCCATTTCCAACATAGGCCTCTAATTGTAGTCGCCCGTCTGGATATGTGTGCACATTTTCCCCATGAGTGTGAATGTTTGTCTTTTTTTTTTTTTCGAGTGTGTTTGTCCTGTGTATGTTTGTGTGCGCGTGTGTGTCCTGTGGGGAGCGCACCGGAGGGGGTGTGAGCGAGGAGATGTCAAGAGCTGCAAGTAACGGAGGAGTCTGAATGTGCCGTGTGTGTGTGCATGCGCGCTTGTGGTTGACAGTTCCCTAGCTGTCTGATCGCAGTGCAACTATAATGAGTCAGAGGCGATGTGTCTTTCTCTCACACACACACACACACACACATGCATTCGCAGTGTCACTCATAACACATTCACACCTACACAGCCATCGCCTTCGTTACTTCCAAGCGTGCGTCTTGCACCCATCCAGTATTCTCCTCCTCTCCTCAACACACTTTTGGCACAATTGACGACTTTTTGGCACATGCCAAATGTTGCTTTTGGCCACATTTGTGAGACGGCTGACAGAAGTTCTCCTCTCTCTCACTGTGTGGCTGCTTGCTTACATTGCTCTAACCGGACATCAATGCAGTCAGTCCATGTTTATACTATACATGTGTGACATTATGTCCCAGAGTGCTACCAGATAAATGCTCCTCGGTTTTCTCCACATTCTTAGCAGTCAAACAAGTGTCAAACGTACTCAACTCTAACATGTTTTCTTGCGACTGACCCAAGTATGAAAAAAATGTGGTTGTTTTATCCAAAACTATGCAAAAGGCTGGGTCGAATTGACCCAAGTACGAAATAATTTGGTTGTTTTGTACAAAACAATCCAGAAAGTGAGTTCAAATTGACCCAAGTAGCAGGGCGTTCTATTTTTGACCAAACATGGGATATTAACATCCAGTCGAGTCGACGCATATTTGTGAAGGTGTGTTTTGATGTGGCTGTCCTTTCCCCCGCCGACCAATCTGTTACCCGTGACGCCTCTGACCTCTGCCACTCTCCGTCACTCGAAAAGACTCGATGTTTGCCTTCTGTTTCATTCGGTCGTCCCATGTCACGATTTATCCATCTTTCCCTCGTATAGATCCACACGTCTTTAATCAATGGGCGTCCAAGTGCAGATGACCCATCCCCGACCCTGCTGAACTTCACCTCTGCCCGCTACATCAGGCTGGTGTTTCAGAGGATCCGAACGCTCAATGCAGACCTCATGACGCTAACACTTCATGACCCCAGAGACATCGATCCCATCGTGACGAGACGGGTGAAGCTTATTTATTATTATTATATATGGTTTTTTTTTTTTAATCCTAGTCGTATGGACACATACTTTATCTGTCAGTGTGGAAAGGGATTTTAAGTTTAAAAAATTTTAAGCCATTCAACATATCTTATTATTGGGCCCTGGAAAAGTTTGTTTATTCCTCCAATGTATTAATGTGTGGCCAACATGAAAACCAGAAGGCTACTTATGAGTGGCGAAAAACGAGCCGCTGTACCTGAAATAAAAGATGAACTATTGATCAATCGTCACGTTTCAATCAACAGCAAAAATAAAAGAATTGTACCTCCCTGTTCCAATTCTTTAGGGGGGGAGTGAAAGGTCAAGTCAATGAATCTCAATGCTAAACACAATTTGAAAGGTTGTCTCGGTTGCGCCGCAAATACTATAAAGCACCAAAGTGGCTTAGAATGACTCACCAAGATAATTATTTTGCTATTAAGGGTGCTACTTCAAGGTTTTTTTTGTTTGTCGGTGAATGTCATCACTGTGTCAGCAAATGTCAACACACTCATGAATGCTCTCCTGTTGTTTCTCCTCAGTACTACTATTCCATTAAGGATATTTCAGTGGGAGGGATGTGCATCTGTTATGGTCACGCAAAGGCTTGTCCACTCAACAGTTTCACCAAGGTAAAGCACGAAACTCCTTCACATTTCAAGACAACATACTTTCTTATCATAACGTGAAGAAAAAAAAAA